AAATAAGTCCAAAATAACCGAGTTTTTCTTGAACAGTATACTTTGAAAATTTTAAAACAAAATTGATTTTTCGCTTAAATTTTAAGAACTACTATATCTTTTCTGGGTTTTCTGTATTGTAAATTTAATCTACTACATATATATGTTCCCATATTATGAAGGTATTATATTTTTTAACACTAAAAGTTAAAAAAATAATTTTAAAAAAGGACGAATTTGATAGTTTATCGATTATTTATTTAATTTAAGAACAAAAACTTATATAAAACGATTATTTTAATATATTTTATATATTTTAATATATTCATCATAAATATGTTAAGCATATTTTTAGCAACATAACAACACGCAAACTATTCAAATATTTACATGCATTTTTCTGTGTAATTTTAGTAACACTTTATAGGCATTGATTATTCATACGATAAATTTTATCATATTACAATCTGCGTAAAAGTCAGCGAAACTACATTGTTATACATCGATTACAAAGTTTCACTAAATATATTAAATAACAGTGAACATAGCTATCCATACTGATCAAAAATACCCGTTTTATGTTTTCAGGAGGGAATAAGTTAAAAAATAATGTTCTTTTTTAAAGCTAATGCATTCTGAAGTTATTTTTTCTGCTATATTGATTAAGTTGACTGGGTTGTAATATCCTAGGAGTCATAGAGTAATAAAAAAATCACGCAGGGTCCATTAAATAGATAATATAGTCAGGGGCGGATTGGAGATATTATCTACAAAGGAGAGCTCTAAAATTATCATTTGATGAGGTGAGTTTATAAATCTCTAAAAAGCCTTAGTAGAGTTGACATAATATATTTGATACCAATTAAACTTCCAGTTATGTAATAGAGGGCGCGATTTTTAAATTAATTTTTGCCAACCATGGACACATTCGGCGCCGGGCTGAGTAACTGTATTTAAATTTCCCGCTGGAGATTCTAAAAACTGGAGTGTCAAGCTAAATGGTGGGAAATGTTGGAGTAATATACTAGCGTCTTTCAATTATCAATTATCAGGATATGTCATATATGACAATAAAGCAGGCAATAAAGCCAATGTTTAACCAAGGTAAAAAACGAAGTGAAACATTCTTTTCAATTAAAAAAATCAAGGGTTCCGTAGTACTTGAAGGTGAGATATTATGTATATTTTAAGACCGAACATGTCTTAAAATGCAATGATTTAAACAGAAAACAATAACAATTTTTCTATGGGGGCAATACATTCTAGAATACACTGTACTTAAGCACGGTTGTACATACCTTAGACTCGAGTCCATGTGTTTTTATTGGGGTATATTTTTCTTGTAGTATAAGATTGTAAGATGATTAACAGCGCAATTTAAGTCTCGAAAATGGCTCGATCAATTTAAATCGTCAAATACCTAATTTTTAAACTAATTTCAACGATAATAAGTCACTAAATAACCTATTAAAATTTTGAACTAAAACTGAACTCATCTTGAACCGAGTATGTAAACAGGGCCTTTTTTCTTTTGCATATACTGATAATTTTGTTCAGTATTGTTTTTAAGTACTTGAAATGTGCCCCAAGTTAGCTATCTTTCAATTCAAAAGTGGCTCACCCAGCTCACCCCCATAACTTTTTTACTTTTTCAGATAAAAAAAACGAGATTTGGTACATTAGTATATGACATAAATTAAGATTGATTGACTTTCAATTCAAAAGTGGCTCACCCAGCTCACCCCCCTAACTTTTTTATTTTTTCAGATAAAAAAACGAGATTTGGTACATTAGTATATGACATAAATTAAGATTGATTGACGTATTCAATTGTTTTTGGTCACTTTCTGTTTCACCGGAAATGACTACAACTTTTGATCTTTAAATGGCACCCTCGGTTTTTTGTTACTTTATTCGATAGAAAATTTTCACATTCTGAATAAAATGACATATCACATATTATATGTCAACAAAAAATCGTATTTTAATATTCAATCTAGAATACCATGACTATGTTAAAAACAGCAATTCTTAATCAAGGAGCATTGGAAAAATGGATTTGATAGTCTAATGTTTTTAGTGTCTTGTCCTGAACAGTTTAGAAAATGCTCAAATCGTATTTTTACTCATGGCTCAATTTTTTCAAATGGCACGAGGGTGACTCATTAGCATGTTTGGAAAAAGCATTTGTTTACGAATAATTTGATACCACACACTTGGTATTTCCAGTCAAATTTTCGTTACGAACCGCTAGTTATAATTTCAAATAAACCATATGTGAAAATGTCAAAAGTTGACATATGATATGTCATTCTATTCAGAGTGTTATTTTCTATGGAATAAAGTAAAAAAATACTGAGGGATTTAAAAATCAAAAGTTGTAGTAATTTCCGGTGAAACCGGAAGTGACCAAAAACAATTAAATACGTCAATCAATCCTAATTTATGTCATATACTAACATACCGAATCTCGTTTTTTTATCTGAAAAAATAAAAAAGTTATACGGCTGGGCCACTTTTGCGTGATGCACCCGCCCGGTATATATGACTATACTCACAGTTACAGCATAGATATTTGCCACATTATAAATTTCAACTTGACTTGACGGTTTTTCCTTGAGCCTACTATATAAAAACAAACTGACCAAGTTACCGCAGGCGGTATATATCATTGACAAAAAAAGTAAAGTAAAGTAAAGATTTCAGTTAACGTATCCTTTTTGCTACCTGGGCTAATCCGGACGGGGCCTACTTTGTTTACGCGGAATCCGAACGGTGGTCCTCGACAATATCATGGTCAGTGGCCTACCGACTTAGGAAGTGTCTAAATTAACTCTTACTCACGAGATATCCGATCTCATCCGGCCCCGAACCGGAGTGAATGAGCAGTGTGTATCAATAGATTTTTACACTTTTCCCTCGGACAACAGCACGATACAGAGTTTCGAACCGGTCACCCGTCCATCCACCAGTAAAAAAAGACCCCCGTTTTACAACGAGATAAATTTTACAAGTATGGCGATTGTTGGTGCGTGTGCAACCGCTCTAGGTGCATACCGCCGTCAACGACAAATTAATTCAATTTTCCACCGGAATTTACAGATATAGAAATATTAAACCGCTGGTTGACGGTATTCTTTTGTATATGTTACGGTTACGGTCCGATATTCGGATAATATCGACATTACCAGGTTAATCTCGAGAATAACACACAACAAAACAACCAAAAACAAAACCAAACCTAAACATTACCCTGTTAATGTCGACATCAACGGATGGGTGTGCTGGACATTGGACTTTAACCGTAACATATACACTAACAATACCGTCGTTAGCTGTTTAGTCAGCGTTTAAGTATTACCTTCCTTATAAACTGAATAGCTTTAGTATAGCAAGTTGTATCTTGTTACTTCCAGGGCGTATAAACACTATATTATTGGAGAATGTTGAGAACCAAACCAAATTAAACTCATGGAGTGCTAGTGGATATGGAGTTGATAGATATAGATAATGTTGAGATATATTTTTAGAGTTTAAATTCAAATCAATATTGATTATAAGTTTTATAAAAACCACAAAATGGTAATTCATTATAAAATGTTTAAAAGGCAATATACATGAAAAAACAAAATACCTTACAATATCTGGAGAGCCTAGAAGACGCAAACTTGTGATCTACGATCACAGTGCAGAACAAGTGGTGTCATTTAAATATCTGTGGGCAAATACCGTATGATCGAATACGGTAAAATAATAATAATAAACGGCGTCAGCGATGCCTATGAAATGAAGATCGCTGTCATTTTATATGTAAAATTATAAGTGAAATGTCATCGATCGTCATTTCCAAGCCAAATGGACGCCGTTTTTTTCGATCATACGGTATAAACAAGCAATAGGAATCTCAAGGAGGAAGTAAAAACTCAAACAACAAAGGCATCATTAATATCAGGATATTTAAGGAATATAATTTGGCAAAATAAATATATGAGTGTCAGAAGCAAAGTTAGAATTTATAAGGCTTGAGTGAGACCGGTTATGACGTATGCGATAGAAACTAGAGCAGAGAACACAATAACAAAACGGCTCCTCAGAACAACAGAAATGCGAACACTTAGATCAATTACAGGATATACCTTATATGACAAAAAAAAATGAGGATATAAAAGAAACATGTGAAATACAGGATGTAGTAAGATGGACAAGAAACAGGAGAAGAGAGTGGAGAGACCATGTGGACAGAATGCCAAACGACCGGTTAACGAAAATTGCTAAGATCGATTGTTAAGAAATCGACCGCCTGGACGACCACCTATAAGATGGTGTGGTGAATTTTAGTGTGAATCTCAACTAGTTCCTCACTATTTAGCCATAATTTATATTGAGACATCTTAAATTGGTTTTCTTTGCCAATATTAATGAGGCATATGCTTCTTATGTATATTTATGCTCTTCAAACATAGTTATATGGCTCATTAATATTTGTTAAAAAACCAACCCAACTTATGTATCCAATTGCAATAAACAAAGGACCTCCAAACCAATATTTTTACATTACATTTCCTTGAAAAAACTGTATAATATTGTTCAGAGATCCATCATGGGAAAATCCTTATTGATCACTTGCCGTTATCACTAGAGACGTTAATTCGTGAATAGAGCTTGATCAAATTCTTCTTTCGTGCTCTCCTATATTTGAAAGGTTACCCTTCTAGTCGAGTCCGTTTATACATCAAAAGTCCTCAACTTCACACATATATTTCCATGAAGGACAGAATTAGGTACTTAGATAACTGATGTTTCATGTATATGTGAAATGAAAATATCCCCCGCAACCTCTCCATGACCTACAGACTTCCCTGCGTACCCCCTCCCTTTACGCGCCACTGTTCTCTACTCCCGCACGTCCTCTGACGTCACGGACGCCCGCGCGCGCACTTTCGTCAACGCGCTACGCTGCTATATTCCTATATCCTCTCCCGTGCGCTACACCCATTCATCGATCCCGGCGTCATCCAGAATCGCGCCGTTCCACACCAGGATCAGTGGGGAAAAGAGAGAATGAGTTGCGCGCGCACTCGATCGCCGTACGTCGCGACGTCTGCCATTGTCGTCGCCGAGGCAGCGAGCAGCGTCGCGATCCGTCGACCAGAGTGAGGCGGAAAAATAACTAGCGAAATCGAAAGGAACGGGCGGCATTTCAGATAGAAACTGCTAGGAAAAGTCGATAGGGTTCGAATTTCGGATCGGTGGTGAAGGAGGTGTTTTTGGATATATTACTGTAGCACTAGGAGCGAATTTGGATGAAAGTTGCTCGCTGATTGTTAAGTGGTCGGATTGAGAAAGGTCCTCGAACAAGGTGAGTTTGTTCCTAGTTTTTTAGATGACCCAGTTTTTTGAGGCAGAAATCTCACTCAGGTCTCTCAGATGATTACACGTAGTAAATTAGAAATACAGAATCCATAACATTGATAAATTAACTTAATTATCATATTTGGTGTTCAGTTCTCTTGTGTATTTATTTGTAAATAAAACTCAAAATATATTCCAGATATAAGTATTATAAAGAGCAAACGCCAAAATGGAGTAAATGTCATTTTTCATTGACCAATAAATATCTGTAAAACACTATTACCTAAATATACTATAATCAATGACCAATCATCCAAGAATATCATAAATTGATTTTTCGACACTAAGTAGCTTTTATATTTTTGTATTTTTTCTTTATTTAAGAACAGAAATTGTCAGGAACTGACTTGTAGATAGTGTTCTATCTAAAGAATATCATAAAAAATAAATAGCATGGATTGAATAGAAGAAATACAATACTAGTAAATATATGAAATAATTACTCAAGTATATTTGAAAAAAAAAACAAGACTATTGCTCTGTATCTTACTGACTCAACTAAGAATACAAAATCCCCAGAGAATGTGAAATATTAAAATAAAATATATGACCGAAATAGCATCTGGAAAATCGATTTCTGATTGTTTTGAATGACAATTAAAAATATTTAAAAAATTGATACATAAGTAGTACTACTACAGTTAATGCTATTTTAACTAACAAAAAATGTTTGATTGTAGCAACTTACGCGTCCTATAACTAAATGACTATTAAATTAATAAAGACCATTCTGTGCAAGTTCGTTCATCTCTATTCATGGTAAAGTAAATTTAGTCTATTAAATAAGAGATTACAGATTAAGGCGAGAATTAAAACGTACTAAAATAAATTTTGACGGCTGGATAAGTAATAACATAGCTCAGAGTAAGAAAAACACAGATTCGGGTTTCTTTTTGATGACTGTGTTGGAAAAGTTATGATATATAGGAAATAGAGATGGCGTACTAGCTATACGCATGGTGTTATCAGAATGACACCCCCCTACAAGCATATGTGCAAATGACATTCTCCAAAGATTTATACCAAGGACCAAGATGAGACTGTTACTGAAGGTTTAATCAATATCTTCATAAAAGGTTAAAAAAATCCATTACAATACACCAAAACACTTTATTTTTGCACTAGACGTGCTTTTTGCTAACCATGTTAGCATGATCAGCAGATGATTAAATCTCTCAGTTATCTGCTGATCATTCTAACATGATTAGCGAAACACGCGTCCAGTGCACAAGTAAAGTGTTTTGGTGTATTGTGATGAATTACTGTTTTATCTTGCTCTTAATAAACGGTTCTAAAAGAAAAAAAAGTGTTGTGAAATATATTCGGGAAATGTAAGAATTAGAGATAAATGGACTATATATACTTCTCCATATATACCTAATCCTTTGTTGGTTCAGTCGAGTTGACGGAAGATTTCTTCTAGTGTTGCTGTAAACAGGGGATATTGCGTCTCCCTGTCCTGCTCCTTTGCCAGTTGGGAACTCTGTGGTTGTTATTATATCGTTACTCTTACTTTGGACTTTTTGGCTTCCCTGTTGTTTGAAACTGTTGTTGGCGAGAGTTTCTATATAAGGTCTACCTTGTTTCGCTAGGGCTTCTATTATCGCCTTAGGATATATCGAGTCGAAAGCCTTCTCAAAGTCTATAAAAGCTATGTATGGTGGAAGTTCATATTTATTTGTTCGGCAGTGTTCATCCCAAGTAGTATTTTCACGACTTGCGACCACATGTTTACTAAATACAACGTTGGATTAGTTACAAAAAATAGTTAGCTCCGTACCTTGGGTATTAAAATAAATGTAAACGTTGTTGTAACGTTGTGCCGACGTTGAACTAGTACTATAACAAAGTAAAAGCTTCTGCGACGTCGAATAAACGTTGTCGTGTAACCTTTTTTGCTTAAGTGATCTTTAGGTGATTCGGACAACGTGGTTACAATGTTGGGCAATAAAGAGTTTTCCCACGACACTTTCAGGACCTGTTCCATCATTATGCAAACGTCGTCTGTTTTACTAATTCTAACGTTGTTTAGATTTCCTTATTCTTACGTTGGTAGGACGTCGAGCCACTACCTTTTTGCAACTGTATTGAACCATAACCTTAAATCTTAAATTTTCATTTCATTCTGCTTCATTGTTCTGTTCAGTCAGACAGTTCAGTGCTGTTTTTGTTTTTACAAAAAAAAACTTTATTAAAATGGGACATAAGAAAGCTACATATAAAACTAAATTTAAATATACATCGACTATTACCGATACTTACCGATCCACTCCCTCGTTTATTTAGAATATAGAGGACGGCACAAGCTAGACTCTAGGATGACTAAATTAGTCAATTTTGCGACTAGTATACTACCTGTTAAGGCTGAACTGCGACTTTATTAGTCCAGTATGCGACTACTCGAACTACTCCATCTTAATCTTCAAAACAACAAAGTAAAAGCCGCCATGTTGTTGAATAAGAAAATGTTTCGTTCCTAAAATAGCAATTCCTGCTTATTGAATACATTAACTTGAAATATTTGACTCTAAACAACACGCGGAAACAATTTTTTCGACTGCGTATAAATTATTCTCATTTTACTAAAAAAAAATTCAAGAACTTTTTTAAAACTTCTTTAATTTTAAGACCCATTATTATTTTTCAAAGTAGAAACAATACATTTATCAATAAAGCTGTTTGCGTTTAACTTTTTTGCCTTGGGTAACGAGTTACAGAGTCGGTTTGGTTTGGTTTGGTTGTGATCATAATTATAATCTTTAAACATTCTCCACATTTAAATACTTTTGTTTTGTTTTCCTTTACTGCCATCTGGCATATGTCTCTAACTAAATCATAAAAATAATAGTTTTACTATAATTATCCCAACTTAGGATAAAACGCGACTTAGACGCCATATTATTATAGTTTTGTATTTCTGTGAATTAGGATTTTAAACAACGTTGCAGTTTGTACTAAATTAGGCTGCCAGCCAACGTCGGTATCCAACGTCGTTTCGACCCAAAAATTATTCTCCAAACTAGTGCAGACTAGGGCTGGCACGAGGTTGTGCCGACGCGACGTTGCGCCCCGACGTTTGGTCGCGTGACACAACGTTGTCCCGACGTCCAAATGCTGCTGGGGATAAAATATATAGTGAGTAAAATTTGAAAAAACACAACTTTGGGTAATATTAAACTAAATAACAAATTATGGCGAAATATAGTAGTAAAAATACCAGTTTCTAGCTACTTATTCTCTATATGTTGAAGAATAATAGAGATAAGAGGATGATCTCGCAAAATACAACTTTCGTAAAATCCTCAATCTTTTAACTTCAACAATAAAGAAGTTATCAGAAGTTATCAGACAAGGACAAATGAAAAAGGAATCTTTACAGTACGATAATTTCTATTAACCACTAAAAATGCGTTTATATGCTTTCCTAATGCGTCATGCGTCATGCACTTGTTCCTTCACTCCAATCATTTTCAAGTATGAGGTGTAATTTTTGAAATAAACCAATAAAATTGCATAAAACCAACGATGAACGAACTATTACGAGAATGCATGGTAAACCCGTACTAAATCAATACTCCCATTGTTTTGTTTTTGCCACTCTGAACAATAAAATGTTATTACTCATATGAATAGGCACTTGTTTCTTTATAAGATGCAGATTGTTTCAATTAATTTTTTCTGAGTCGATGCAGTAGAGTGCAGAGATGCAGTAGAGTGTGTTATTTATAAAACCTTCTTATTAAGTTTTAAATTAGTGTCTTAGTATGCTTTACAAATGTTTTTAAAACAATAATAATTAGACTTATTTTTTTTATATATAATATCTTATACACAATTATGCCGCATGAAAAAAAACGGCGTTTAGTTGGCTGGGAAACGACAATCGATGACATTTTCCATATAAATTTACATATATATATCTGCAACATCAGCCGAAGATTGTTTTTACTTAAATCAAGGAAAGTTTTTGATTTTTCTCGGTCACAGGTTCTGAGAAACTTTTTCGAGTGTCTTAGACCGTTGGAGGATTTTCATTCCAGGTTACGGAGTCTTCCAAGTTCTTAAGTTCCGCTTAAAGTTGATTTCCGCTTGGCAAGCAGAACCAGCAGCAGGTCCAGTTAGTGGAGTGTTCGCTCCTTTTCTAGCTAGATCGTTACACCCAGAGTAGAAGGACTTTACTGCCTAATTTTCTCAATTTCTTTAGACATTCTCTGACCACCTTCGAATTGATGGTTACTTGGTTGATCGCTTTTAATGCTGCTTGACTATCGTATAAGATCGCTATTTCCTGTTTAGGATAGATTCCTATCTAAGATAAATTGCATCTTTTAAACGCATCTTTCGGTAGCAGAGATTTCAGCCTGAAGGATGCTGGGGTAGGGGCCTATTGGTTGGGAGTATTTAGGTTTCGGCCCAAATACTCCCATCCCTGTCCCTGATTTGGCTTTGGAAGCATCAGTATACCATGTAATGGTATGGTCTTTTACATGATGAGCGAACGTTTCTCTCTTCCAATCCTTTTTATTGCTTAATACTACAGTAAGGTGCTTCTCAAAGTTGTACATTCTTGGTATGTCATCCACTGTTAGTTAGGGAGTGGAATTTTCTTTTTGAGGGTGTTCCAAGCTCCTGACCTGAAAATTCCCCCAGTGGTGTTTCTGTCAATAGCCATTCTAATCATTGTAGAATGGCTAGAAATAGAATATAATAATAAAAATTTTCCAGGCCAAAATAACTGTAATCCATTATTTTGTAGAAGAAATAATTTGATTTTGAGCAATGTTACGTTAGGCTGGATATCGCGGCACGACGGGCACAAGGGTCACGAAAAAGTAAATAAAATTTGAAAACAAGACTTCTCAATGCAATTCATCCAGTATCGCTGTCCAGAATCCTTCTACGGTACTGCATAAGCTGTTACAAGAATGACCACAAAACAATGGGTAG